GTAGCCTTGGTTCCTTGTAGCTCTCCCATCCCATCATCACGAGGTGGCTCTTTTCCGGAGTAGGCCTTCACATACTCCCGCGGTAAGGTGTACTTCCCGATAAGCATATATCTAAGGCCTTTTCCCAGAGCTCCCTTCGAGGACACATCTAGACCGGGTTTGATGGGTCCTTCTATATCTGTAGTCAGCGTGAACATGTCTGGGTGCTTCACTCTGGCGTGTCTCCGCCCCGTCCCTCTGGACATAACACACGTCAAACAGTCTCGATGATATTTGGCATGGCCCGAAGCTACGTGCTCCTTCCACTGAGCAGCTGTTAACGCAGCCATTCGCGGTATTTCTCTTGGTTGTCGTCTCCAGAACTGCAGAGCCATCACCACAGCATCCACAAGCCCACTTGACCAGGTACCATCCACAGGACGTGGGCGAGCTTCGCCTTCTGCGCTTTCCTCTCGCATGGCATCCAGGCCCATAAGGTAGTAGATGTTTGTCCCTAAGGTTGTGGTACTTGTAGTTGTAGCTCCCATAACACCCTGATCAAAGGTCACTAAGCCCATGCCCATCTCCTCTGCGAAAGCTCTCCATGTAGTGGTTGTCCACAGCGATGTTGTTGAAGGATGATTGCCGACCCAATTCTCCTCCGCGGGGTGCTCCACCATGAAAGCCACCGGCCTTTTGCGATTGGGGGGCAGCGCTGAGCTCGTAGTCCTTGCCGCCTCGGCGACCGTGTAGAGCCACAGCATTCGCGCAACCAGAGTCAAATTCCTCACGTCCTTCTTGGTTGCCTTCTGGTCCAGGCACGGAAGTCCATTGCGACCCGGGGGACCCCCGACCACAGCTTCAATCCTTCCCGTCAAGGCTCCCCACATTAACATCCGCCATGTGGAATCTCTTTGTATATCGTGGGCCTTGTTCCGCTCCAGGTCCAACTCAATCACCACCGTGTCGCCCTCGTCCAATTGGAACATCTTGTAGTGTCCAACCGCTCCCGCGTAGAGATGAACGATCCATCTTTTCGCCGTCCACAAACGCCGCTTTTGAGGTCGGCTGAGGAAGTCGACCTTCTTCATCACGTCCCATCCACGCTCACAAATACTCTCCTGCACCATTCCATTTAGACATTCACCAGGTAGTCCCTGTAGGAAAGGTGCATCACGTAGAGCTCTTAGGCCGGCTTCATGTGACCCTATGTCCACATAATCCCTCACATAGTCCCACCAACTCTTATCCATTGTCAACGCTGCCAGGTTCACTGCATCCAAAGTCGTCACAGTCTCATTCTCCAGCCTCTCGCGCTTCTTGTCCTCTAGCTTCGCTATCAGTGCCAAAGCTGCCGCCTCGCATAGCTGGGGGCAACCGGTCGACACATTCAATGAAGTCCTTGTGCCCTCTGCGTTTTCTAAGTAGCACTCTCCTGGACCCCATATCAGCGTGTACCCCAAGGTGCGGACCAGCTCTCCCATTGGTACGATGGTTTGGCCTGCCGTGGCTTCTGCAGTAGTAGAGGTAGTAGTTGATGAGGATCTCGGGGGCATAAGCAAGGAACCTGATTCCGATAGCTTCATCACCAACTTGTTGTTCCCCGCAAGGTGAACGAGTACACTCTCGCTTTTGTTCCATTCATCATAGTCGTAGGCGTTGCGCAAACAGTGGGTGGCCCCAGAATCAAGAAGAGCTGCCGAAGACGAACGCAAACTGCAGATCCTCACATCCTGCACCCTCATAGTCCTCAATTCAGCTCGAGTCTTCTCCGGAGAACTATCCCCATTGGTAGCGGAGCCTTGATTCTGAACCACCTGCTGAGCGGCTTGTATAAGGTTCTCAAGGGTCCATGGCACACCTTGTACAGAATTCACAGACGCTGCTGAGGTACTATCCAAGGTCGAGCTCGGCGTGGTAGTAGACACCGACGAAGTCCCCGCAGACGGTATTCTCTGAGACCTCTGGTCCTTGTTGGTCGGCGAGCCGGGCGTGGTAGTAGCTCTTGTGCCTTTGCCCACTGTACAGTCCCTTTGTCTGTGTCCTTCTGCTCCGCAAAGTAGACACTTCTTATTTCTGGTTTCACGGTCCAAGGTGGCCATGCTGTGGCTATAGGAACACTTTGCGCCCCGTTTGCATCCTGAAGGCTTCATAAAGTACCGACACAACTCAGAGGCCGGAGATCCCTTGTCCTTATCCTTCCCCTTCTCCCGCTCACGCGCTGACGTAGGCCTTTCCAACGCTCGAAGCCGCGGTTGCTCCTGGCCCGTGGTAGTGGTAGCCGCTGGCCGACTGGCCAACAAGGTTTCGACCTCCGCCTGCAGATGCCGCTGGTACGCATACACATCCTCCATTCGAGGCTGTCCATCCAGCCTCAGGCTTGTTCTCACCATTGCCGTCCGGAAAGCTGCATCTTGAGACTGCTCCAAGTGGCTTGAGGTTAACTGCTTCAACCCCCTCGCCAACACTGAAGAATCCGGAGGCATCATTTGCAGCGAGGCGCACCTCGCGATCCATCGCGGCCAAGAACGTAGCACCCTGAGCACCTCTGACAAGGTGTTGCTGGCAAGGTTGTCGGCAGGGCTCTGCAACTTCCTCAGAATGTCCTCTCGCTCATTGCTGCCACCTGGTTGATATAACGTGTGGAGTCTGTATAACATCTTGACCACGCTAGTGGAAATACGATGCGAAACCATCTCCGCTTGTTGCTCCGGCGACATTGCACCAAGCAACATTGCCGACACCCTGGCGTTCAACCTCAGCCACCGATCGACGGACAGCTCCTCGCCCTCCGGTTGTATACTCAAACGCTCAAGCGGCGTACTGCCCAGCCATCGTCTGTATGTACTCTCTACTTCTTGGAGGACTCGTCGCCACCAGCTGCCGCTCTGTTCGCTAACATCACACATCACTGCTGTAGTAAGCTCCAGCCAATCCTGAAACTTCATGGCCGTCTCAGCACCCGGTGTAAGCTCAGGCAGCTGAGCCAAGGTTGTTGTTCCAGGCTTAATGACCTCCGCGGCAGGGTACTGGTTCTTTGTCATAGCTGCTGCTTGTAGTTCTTGAAGCTGCTGCACCCCTTTTAGTAGTGCATTCATTACGGGCGAATCCCCATGAGCTCCAGGCGAAGGTGCCCTCGGCGGCGGTGTTTCGCTCCTCGTCCTTTGGCCCAGAAGCGACCTCATGAAACTTCGAGCTTCGGGTAGGGGAGGTGGTTGTGGAATAGATCTCGCTCCTGCTGAATCAGGGTCTGGTACTTGGGGTTCTTCCGTAGGAATTCCGGGACCTGATGGAGCTGTAAGAAGATCTTCCAATAGCCTAGGGGGAGCTGGAGGTTCAGTAGGGCGTCCTCGTAGATCATGTGGGTCACGTAGGAGATCTCCTGAAAGTTGCCCTCCCGGTCCCCATAAGCTGCCTTGTTCTAAGAGACCCGGAACCCCTCCAAGTGGATCCCGATTCGGTACACTTACACCATGCCGATCAGGTACGCGGTTTGTTCTGGCCACCTCTAGGACTCGTCGAGCCTCGCCTAGTTCATTCATCAAGGCCTCGTTCCGGCTCTCTGCCACCTGAAGACGTCCCAGGATTCCGCCCAGTTGTCGCTGTACCTCGGCTTGTATGGCCTCAGCTGAAATATCCGAGCTCGGCGGTGTAGGCGGCGGTAGTGGCCGCGTGGTTCGAGTCGGAGACCTCAGCCGAAAAGCAGGTCCTCCTGGTGGCGACTGCGGCGACGCCATTGATCCTGCCAGTGGGCTGGGAGAAAAATCTCCCCGCCCTTGCGCCAGATAACTTCCCAACCGTGTCACCCAGCGCGGTACTTCCAATCCAGTCATCCAGTTGTTCTGAGCGACTGACGTTGTAGTCATAGCGGACCTCGGGGTAAGAAACTCCACTGCGCGAGCTCCTCCAACCACTGCTGCCTGCGTTGCGCTTCCCTCGTCATGGTCTCCGTCCAGCACACCAGTCGTAGCCGATCCTCGTGATCGCTCCTGCTGGGGTGCCGATTCGTTCCCATTGACAGGGGCGTTAGACGTGGTAGGCGCCTCCAGATCATCTGCAGATTGAACAGCCTGTCTCATTACTACATCGGCTTGTCTCTCCGCCAGTCCATCCGGCGTG